AAAAAAAAAAGACCAGTCAGGGTGGGCTGAAACCGAACGAGGCAGGAAGACAAAACGGAGGGGAAAAAGGTGTCTGGTCGTACCGGTCATTCCAATCGTCCCCACGACGTCTCTCATCTCGTTCCCGAGACCGATCGTAGTCGCTGCGCTCTCTTCGAAACTTATCCCGGCGCCTTCGATCATATTCGTCATCACTGTCACCCATAGCGCGATCGCAGGGCACCTGGAACCCGGGGACGGGTAGTCAAGAAGCAGGTGAATAACGGCGGGAAGGGGAGAGAAACACCCCACCCGGGGCTCCCGCCGTCCTAATGCCCTAGCCTGGACGCACGATGGACAGGATGGCTCCGATACTCCCTCTATCGCCCCTCAGAGCGTCCCTGCCCCGTCCCCTGGCGGCGAGCCCCGCCAGCCGCCGCCCACGGCTCCCCGCCTGCCCCGGGGCCCTCTCCCTCCGTCTCGTACCGGCGCCCGCCGGAAGCCCCGGTTGGCCGGGTCCCTCCCCTCCCCCACCCGCGCTCGGTCGCGGCCGTCGGTTGGCCTAGGACTGCTTGGGTGACTTGGGCTCGCACCTGCGCTGTGGCGCGCGACGAGTATACCCCGTAAGATGTGAGGAAATCGGGGAACTCTCCGCAAAGGGAGTCTCAGAAAGCAAGAGAAACTGGCACAGAGGATGAACAGCAAATTACTATTCCGAGCTCAAGCTTCACGTCATCTACGTCAACTACAGCCCGCGCGCCCTAGTAGTGAAGCAGGTGGGCGGAGACAAGCGTAGGGCGGGGCCAACGTGGGGAACTCTTGTGCGGCTTCCGGCGCGAGAACCAGGAAACTACGGGAGCCGAGCCGGATCACGTGTGCTTTCCGGAAACCGGTTGAGGCCTTTGGTTTGAACTGACGTGCCGCTTGTGTTCACGTTCTCAGCCAGTTCGCATCCAGTCTTTGGCTGCCCACCCGGACTCTTAATTCGGACTTTCTGGCCTCAGCGAGTGCTGGCGTTAGAGGGAGAGCGCAACCATTTTAAAGTCTGTGTGCCCACCACTTCGCGTTCCCACCTGCAAGCCCATCATTTCTGGTGTGGCAGTTTGACGCTTCCTGGGAAACCCTTTGTTCCTGCTCGGCCACAAAAGTGTTTTATTGTTAAGCAAAATGGGCAAATCTCAACCTTCTCCCCAACTGATACTCTGATAACCATGTTTCCTGATCAATAGTCAGCATCTTCCCACCAATCAACCCCTCCCTGAAGTCTTTTCAATTAATTGAATGTGAAGACTTAATAGGAAAAACTGCCTCTCTAGAGCATACTGCAGCCCTTTGCGAAGCACCGAAAAGTGTTTCTGTGCTAAAAGTCTATATCGAGTAGTCGGTAGGGAGTTTGCCCTGCCAACCCAAAGGCAGGCAACTCGGATCCGCCAGCGGCTGGAAACCAGTGGAGGGCAACTTGCTATGACAATGAGTCTTTGAGAGTCACAAAAAACAGAACCAGAACCAAGCTGTTGTTAGGTACGGTACTCAGAACTGACTCAGCTAACCCTCCTGCGGGTTTTTAGACATAATAAATTGCCATAGAGCAGCTGCGGGTTTTTAGACATAATAAATTGCCATAGAGCAGCTGCTGCATTCAAACCAAGTGCCTCTGAGTTGGCAGCTCAGCTTTTTACCAATGGGCCACTAGAGCTCCTAGGACTCAAGCTAGGTGCTAATCTTGGAGCTGCACTTTGGGCAGCATCCAATCTGGGGAACATCACTTCTTAGTTCTAGAATTCTCACAAATTAAAAGCCAGCAGTGACAAGCATGCTTGTATCTGAGGCGGGTGTGAGGATCAGAAGAAACAATAAACTTGAAAGTGTTAGGGAAACTCTTGGGGGATTATTATTTCACAATTCAAGGAAGAGGAGGCAAGGTTTAGTTGACAAAATTTTGAAGGGAGCGTGGTTGACGGGAGCAATGACGCAGCAGGTGCTTCTGGGAAGACTCAGCAGTCGGTGGTGACGGTGGCTGAGAGTTCCTGGATGCGCCAGGCACTACAGGACTTGCATAAGATGTGTCCATCCAGGGGGTAGCAACCTTGGCATTCACCCTCTGAGGAGAGCAGCAACCCACACTCCTGTTAGAAAGGAAGTTAACAGTTTTTCTATCAGTTTCCTTGGGTTCCTTCTCCCTCGAGCTCTACTACACCCCGCCTTCCAGACCCACTTTCTTCTTGGCCAGGCCTCTTTACCTCACACTTGTAACAGCCAATATGAAAACTTCGGTCCAGAGCAACAATTCGCACAGTCTCCTCCTGACCTGGTTCCGGCATGATGGCCCCACCACACACCGAGCAGCGTGGAGCAAATTTCCTAGAGTGAAAGGGAACCAATGAAGCTGTCAAGACCAGTGTTGGGGGAATAATGGAGCCCAGAAGAGGTGAGATGTAGGAGGAAATGAGAGACACCAGAGGTATGGTCTTAGACAGTAGGAAAGAGAAGGAAGCAAGGCCAGGGTTGTAGATAGGAACGACGAGATACCAGCACGTGAAGGAGAGGTGAGGGAAATGCAAAGGATCAGACCAACCTGTGGAAGTCCTCAATGCAGTGGATCTGGCTGGTGGCATCCACGGTGAAGGGGATGCCATCAAGGCCTCGATGGCACACCACACAGGTGAAACATCCAGGGTGGTAGGCCTTCCCCATCGCCCGCAAGATCCGGTCCAGGATGGGCTGGGAGCACATGGAACACTTTTCCAGGGTGGCCTATTGGGAAGGAGAGCAACTAGGTCCAGGGGCCCTGTGGCAGCCCTTCAGACATCCTGCCAGCCTACCCATCTACAAACCCATCCCCTGCATATGATACAGTGAAAGGTGAACCGGAGAGGATCTGAGCTCAGGTGCCAGTATTGAGGCTTACTAGACACGTTATTTAACCTCTGAGCTGTCATTTTCCAAAAAAATGGGAATCAACAAAGTCTGGCTCAGAGCTGATGTGACATTTGACTCCATAACTCTAAAATGCTTCACGTTAGTAAGACACCATTGTCATTCCCTTCCAGCAGTTTCTAGTGCACCAGTTTTGAATGTTATTCCTCTTTTGGGGTTGCCCATCCCATTCCCAATTTCCACCTTGGATGGAAGGACCACCTCTTCTCCTATTGGCTCCAGGCCACCAGCCCCAACTACTCACCACATAGCAGCTCTCGCAGTATGCCCTCCTCTCCACAGCATAGAAATGCTGGCCCCGGAGCTGGGCCCGGCACGTAGAACAGACAAAGCAGCCCACATGGAAGACACGGTCAAGGGCTACTACCCCAGCCCCATCCCCAACCACATCTTCTCCACATCCTCCACACCGGCCTAGGGATAACAGAGATAAGGTTAGCCCACCAGAGACCAGACCCCACCGTTCCCCTGCCTCTCCAGTTCACCCTCCTCCTCCTGCCACATTAGCTGAGGCAACTAACCAAAGTACTCCCCGCTCGGTGGGTGGTTCATGTCATGCACCAACTTCTTGGTCAGTCTCTCAAGCTCCTCCTCTGGAGGCTGGCTCAGGGGGACCCGGGAGGTAGGAATTGGGTTTGCTCCTACGTCTGGCTCCTGACACTGTAAAAATCCCTGAGTGTGACATAACAGGCAGTTAAACTCAGAAAGTCCACAAGAAGCATCTCAGTCCAAGGCCAAGGGCAGAGGCTCGGGGAGCCAGGATGAAGCACTAGCGCTTTCCTTTCAGTATTTCCTGGCCTCCCTTATACCCTTTGGGATTCCATAGTTCAGACATCCCAGGCCTGTAACTCTGCCCTGAAACCAGAATATAAAACACCACTTTCACTCCACCCAATCTGTAGCTAGATGTCTCTGAAGACCCAGAGCCCCAGTGCCGTGTGCTCACCTGAGGTCCGTACCTGCCTCCTCTTCCTCCTCCGGCAGGGCCAGGGACCCCAGCAGCCTCCTCTTTACCCACTGGTCCTGGCTCCCGGTGGCTCCTATAGCCAGCCCCCCAAGCTTCACCTGGGCCTGTGAGAGGAAAGTGGGGACCCGGGAGGGGCCTAGAAGCCTGAGAGGCCCCCCGTCTGGGTGGGGCACAGCCTCTCACTGGTTGTGCCACTTTCACTTGCACAGGGAAGGCTGGGCCAGCAGGGGTGCTGGCAGTAGCATAGGAGGCTGGAGTAGGGCCCCCATAAGGGGATGCTGGGAGTTGTGGGGGTGCAGCTCCCCCTCCATTAAGCTTCAGAGAGCCGGTGCGATAGCCAGAGGGCTGAGGGGGTTCATAAACCTGTGAAGGAATAGACCATAGGAGTAAGCAAGGCCCACTGCAGATTATTCATTTGTGGAAAGCCCTTGTGTGACCCCAAGACGGGCACATTTTTTACACCCTCAAGTGGCTAACTACCTAGTGATCACTCTAAGCCAGACTTCATGCTGGGTGCCCCTCCCTCTGGCACATGGAAGCAGGATGGACGTGGGGGGGTTGGATCTGGGTTAAGAATACAGGGAAAGAACACAGCTGGGGGGCAGGGACAGGTGGCACCTGTTGGTCTGGGCGCTGCGGCACGGGGCCACGACCCCCATCCAGTTCTGCCAGCATGCTGGTCAGTGAGTCTATCTCCGCATCCAGGCTTCCTGGGCACAAGCCCCCTCTATCAGGGGGCAGCCCCTGGAGATGGAAAAGAAAACAGGAAGAAAGCGAATCCTATTGTTTCCTCTCCCACCCTGGACCCCAACTTGGCTCTGCAGGACTCCACCTCCGACTCCCAGGACTCACCTGTGGGCGCTGCGGTGCTCCATGGGCGCCCCCCCAGGCTGGCCCCCGATCCTCCAGTCCCCCTGTGGCCCGGTAACACTGCTCAGATGGGAGGGGGCAAAAATTGACTCTGGGGTGGGGCTGGAGTGCTGGGGTGAGGGGAAGAGAGATCAAAGGTGGGGATGGGGAAGAAGACAAGGGGTCCCAAGAAGGTCCCTCGTCCCCCCTCCTGAGGCGGGAGAATGGGCCTGGTGGTAGTTTCCAGGCCTGGGGTGAGGGGGTGATAAGGGGTGGGAAGCTGGGCTCCTCCTCCCCCAGGCCCCGCACCAGGGCTGCCTTACCTGCTCCCTGGGCCACTGGTGGGCCCGGGGGACCTCGGGGAAATGTTCTCCCCTGAAGAGCTCTGGAGGGCTCTGGTTGCTTCGGGGGAAGCCAGGTGGGCCCCGACATGGCCTGGAACTGGGGAGGGGGAGGCCCTCAGAGCCCTGGATCTCTAGTCTCGATTCCCTCTTCGGTCCCTCCACTCGCTGGAACTCCAGGAAAGAAACTTTCTCTTGCCTTTTTTTCTCTTCTCTCTTCCTTCCCAATTTTGGGGACGGCCACGCCCCCGATGACATCACCACATTCCTGGGGGAGGGTCACGTGGCCCCCTAGGCCCTAAACCACCGTTCTTCCCAGAGCTGGCCCCTCCTGTGGGGCGGGGAGCGCCCCGTCCAGGAGGCCTCTGGCTTGCGTGGCTCCCCCCACCCCCAACCCCTTCCCACCACTGGCAGTCCTGCTGCAGGGCCAGCTCCAGCACCCCGCTTTTCCACTCGGAGATCCGGACTTCCCCTCCCTAGGGTACCTGACCCCCTCGCCAGCCCCCTACCCCCTTCACCTATCACCCTAGGCAGTGCTCGGCCAGCCTGTAGTGTTTTGGGTCTTTTATTCACGTTCAGCAGAGTTAGAAAAATAAAACAGCACAAACACATCACAACCTCAGAGGTCAGTGAACCTGTCAGCATGAGGGAGGCTGAGGGGGAAACTGAGGTAGCCTAGAGTCGCAAGAGGAGAGCCAGCCCCTCCCATCAAGGCACCAGAGAAGGCACCAGTGACTGCCCCTCCCCGTGGTGGGGACCACAGTGCACAGCTGCCCTGGGCAGTGCCCCTCCCCAGGGTCCCATTCAAATGCGGAGGGAGGGGGGACCTGGGCCCACAACCCCATGGCGGTCTCACTGGGCTCCAGGCCCAGGTGCCAGGAGGTGGTGCTTTCTCCCCTCCACGCCCACTAATCTAGAAGGGTGGCGAGGCCTGCGTGGGCCTTCTCTACCCACACCAGGAAAGGGCTACGTTAGGCATTAGAGATCAGTGCAAGTGACAGGGGTGACGCCGTGAATGAGCAGTGTGGGGCCCAGGTCCCGGCTCAGGATATCCAGCAGTGTCAGGTAATGGGGGTAGCGGGCAGAATCAGCGGGTGGCCGAGGCAGGTACAGGAAGGTAAGGGCAGTGGAAGGACCCTCCTCCCCATCTGCACCTTCGGGGCCGCAGGGTCCACCCCCTCTTCGCCCCTGCTGGGCACGAACTAGGGCGTTGGCACTGCTTGCCAGGGCCTCTGTCTCAGCATCTCCCCTCCCGCAGTTTTCAAACTCCCCCCCCTCCTCCTCCGGCTCCCTGCTCCCGGCCCCCTCACCCCACACTACCTCCTGCACCTCAGCCCGGATTCTCAGCTGGCTGAGCAGTGCCCGGAGCCGCCCCTCGGCTGCCCCAGGGGCCTCCTGAGGCCCCAAGCACAAGAAGATGCGGAGACGGGCACTGTGCCAAGCAGGCACCATGCCCAAGATGGTTGCCATCTGCAGCAGGAAGAGGCCACAGACGTCCACATAGCCAGGCCCACCCCGGGGCCGCAACAAGTTGAGGGGCCACACGTCCACGTGGTGTGGCTGAGAGGTGCCCCCAGATCCCCGGCTCAGCCGCTCGGGGGGCAAGGCTCCGCAGGCCCGAGCAAGGACCACATTCTTGTTCATCTTGAGGGCATCTGCCACGGTGGCCACATAATCCTGGGGACTGAGAGCCCGGGGGCTTCCAGGAGCCCGAGGTGGAGGGAACAAGGTGCTCAGGGAGGGGGGTCCCCCTTCCCTAGGGCCGTCAGCAGGTTCCAAGAAGGCTGGGTCTGTGAGGAAATGGTCCTGGGGGGGAGCATCATCGTAGAAACCCAGGACCAGCGTGTTGGGCTTCATGCCACCTAGGGGCAGAGAGAAAGAGGGAGGAAGGAGCCATCAGAAGTCAGATTCCCATTGACTTTACACCACACTAACGTGCACCCACTCGGACACACTCACAACTAATGTGTCAGCCACTAAGTATTACATTTGCACTGCCTCTGGGAACAGCTCATACATTTGCATAATGAGTTTTCCAGCTTCCCAAGCAATTTCACACATATTTGCTTAACTCGTCTCTCCACTAACCTCCATTTAAACAGTCAAAGTTCACAAGAGTCCCTTCTCTGATGAGCACTTCTGCTCCCTGGGAAGATGCTGTTCATGCCACATTTTTAAGCAGTATACTTTTTTTTCATGTGGGGAAGAGATTGGTACCCTGATTAGACAAACTCGAGGCTTCAATCCCCAGAGAAATGTGCCCAGACTCTGTAGTGAACGGAGATAAAGCATAGCTGCTCAGCCTCCAAAGATCTAAAGATCTGAGATGGTGCTTTCTTTAGAAACATGATCTCTGAAGAATTTACCAGAAGCTGGGTCTTGTTAGGACTCTTAACATCTTGGTAGCCTAGTGGCAAGAAGCCGCGCTGCACTCCTGAAGGCACGTGGTTGAAATCCACTAGATGCTGGAAGAAGGATGGGCAATCTCCTCCTGTGCGATTAACTGCCTCTGAAGACTCACTGGAGTGTCAGCTAACAGTCAATTCCATCTCGACTGGACACAATAACAATCATAACAATCCCTGAAACAAGGTACAACTTACCCTCCCGTTTTACACAGAAGAAACCTGAGGCCCCGAGCAGGGGAAATAAGTGGCACACAGTCTCCCCTGCCTGTAGGTAGCTGGGCCAACAGTCCAACTCCACACTAGCATGTGTGTGCAAACCACCAGGCCACAAGGCCCTGTCAACGGCTCCCGATGTGTAATACAGGCAGCCCCAGGATTACAAACGAGTTCCATTCTTCAATCTGTCTTTAAGTTGAACTTGAACGTGAATCAGAACAGTTAGGCACCATTTGTATCCAACATTAGCTAAATTAATCAAATGTTTGTCTTGGTATATATAGTGTACCTATCTAGGCATAAAAATAGGGGGGAAAAACACTTGGAAATACACAAAAACATCTTTAACATGATATAGCACCCATATGTTATTACAAATCTTTTAATTTTTTTTTTTACTTTATTATTTGTTGTGTGTGTACCATCAAATCGGACCTGACTGGCACAGGAGGAGATTGCCCCTCCTTCTCTAGCAGAGCATCTGGTGGATTTGAACCGCATACCTCTGGGATTGCAGTACAGCTTCTTGCCACTAGGCTACCAGTACAAGTCATTTATATACCTTATATTTTTAGTGTAATCTGCTTGTGGATGCAGGGAAGTTTTCCAACTATGATTGTGCCTAAGTCAGATCGCTTGTACACACAGCCCGTGGGGACTCCCTGCACATGTACAGCTAGCACAGAATGGGATAATCCCTCCCTTTGAGATGGCTGCACTTGTAGGAAGATCCTGCGACCACTTTTATGACTCTTCCTTCTAAAGAAACAAAAGCTGGGAGGAGGGGCAAAAAAAAATTTACCAGTAAATCATATTCTACTTTCCAGGAAAACATACAACTTGAAGAAATCCTTTCCCTTTTACTTGAATCTAGATACACTTCCTGAAACAGCCCAAATGTCCAACCACAACTGAATGGATTGAAAAAAAATGTGGTACATTCACACAATGGAATATTATGCACTATCAAAAGCAATGATTTTGAAAATTCCTATATAACTTGGGAGAGACTGGAAAGCATTATACTGAGTGAACTAACTAACTCGGCCTCATAAGGACAAATATTGCATAACAATCATTATTGTAATAATAGACGGATAACTAGTAAAACATGTAAAGGGTCCAAGAGGAGAAGGGGTAGGGACAGAAGGGTGAGGATGGGTAGGGGTGAAATAACAGGCTTGAACAATTTGGCGGGTGGAGGGTGGGGGTAAAAGAAATGGGGACGATCTGGCAGGGACCTGATAAGACAGGATAATGGTAGGCATAGTTCAATAGTGATTAATTTTATAAAATATAAAGAATGGGAATGATTATATGACATACAATGTGAATGAAGACTAGAGTGAAACACAATGTATACAAACTTTGTTAAGCAAACTAATATAAAATAAAAATTAATAAAATACATTTCTTGAAAGTAGCTGCTCCTTTGCAGAAGTTTCTCCATAAAGGGTGGAGTGGAAGAAGGATCAGGCTCTCAGATGCCGCTGGAAGTGTCTAACAAGGCTCGATCATGATCTAGAGAGCTGTAGAGCCCATCCCCCCCAACACACATACTCAGCGAAAGAAACAGTGACATCCTGTCTTAAGCATTTTCTGATCTGCCAGGAGCACAGCCATGTACTAGACTATACTGTTGAACATGAGTCAGTTCCTAAATGTAGAAGGAGGCCACTGACATTGAAAATGAAGTCGGTGCACACCCATGCTTAATGCTGTTTTGTTCACAACACAAAGAGTTGGAAACAAGCCACATGCCCAACAACACATGAATGGATAGAGAAGCTGCGGTATAGTCACACAATGGAATACTATGCAGCACTGAAAAACAAAGAACTCATTAAGTATTCTACAAAATGAGGGACATTATGCTGAGTGAAATAGCTCAGTCACAAAAAGACAAATACTGCATAATGTCACTGTTATAAAATAGGACTGACATGGGAGTTGGGGGGAAACAAAGAAAAAAGGGGATAAATAATGTACACAGCATGGAAACAGATGAGGGAGAGAACCATATAAAAGAAATATATGATTAGGTATTACTGGCATGACAAGAGTCCAGAATAAGAGCTGCATAGTAAAGTGGACTTGGCGGAGGCAGGGACTGTATAACAAATGAAAAAATTTTTTTCCAAAGAAAAAAATGCTAAATGGGGGGAGGCATGGAGGAAAATGTACAAAAACGAACGAATGGAAATCCAAGTTCTCTAGAAACTCTCACTAAAATTTCAATTTTTTTTTTTTTAAGAAAAGAAAGTTAATTTGGAGGACTGGGCAACCCAAAGCCAACACGGTCAGCAAGAAGACACAGTCACACAACTGGGAACCTTTCCCAACCCCCAGCATCTTGCGGGCTTTGTGGTCTTTGGCCCAAGCTGCAGTGTTCCCCACTTCTCTCAACTCAAGCCTGGCTGAGACAACCATCTCTGCATAAAACCTTTATGACCACATCAGGTCACAGCGGTCTTCCTCTCTCTGATCTCTGGTTCTTAGGAACCATCTGCCCGCAATTTAATGGGGCAGCCCCAGACTCAAGCTAATTACTCTTCCGTGGTCCCCAGAACTACAACAGACTTGTCAGAGCCTGTGTCTCAATTTTTAGTTCAGGGTTTAAAAAAGTCACCCCAACTCTAAACCTCAGCATTTCCTATTAGATCTTATCATAGGCCAACATCTCTGTGGCTGTTATCTTTCAGCACAGAATCTCATCTCTACGAGATGTGATTTTTCATTTACTCTGAGCGGAGACTTAAGGAGAGCCATATAGGAGCTATATATCAGGCTGCTAACGTATTGTGATGGGAAAGTCTGCGGTCAGGGACCTCTATAAAGTACTCAAGAGCAACGGTGTCTCTCTGGAGACAAAGGTGCGCCTGATACAGGCCATGGTTTTTGCAATCACTTGTTATGCATCAGAGAGTTGGACAATGACTAGGGAGGATAGAAGGAGAATTGACGCCTTTGAGCTGTGGTGCTGGAGAAGAGTATTGAATGTACCATGGACTGCCAAGAAAACAAACAGATGCACCCTAGAGAGGGTTAAACCAGGCTGCTCCTTGGAGGCAAGGATTCTGGGGCTTCGCCTGACATACTTTGGACATGTTGTAAGGAGAGACAGGTCCTTGGAGAAGGACATCATGCTTGGTAGGGTGGAGGGACAGTACAGGAGAGGAAGACCCTCTATGAGGTGGATTAATTCAGTGACTGGGGTAATTGGGATGGGTGTGTCAGAGGCAATGAGACTGGCACAGGATAGAGCAGGGTTTAAGGCTGTTGTACATAGGGTCGCTATGAGTCGCAAACGACTCGATGGCACATAACAACAACAACAACAAAAAGGTCGGCAGTTTGAATCCACCAGTTACTCTTGAGGGAGTAAAATAGGGAAGTTCTTCTCATAAAGATTTATGGTCTTGGAAACTGTAATGGAGGGTCACTATCGACTTGACAGTAGAGGGTTTAGGGGTTTTTTGGGTTTATAGGAGGCTGGAGAAACAAGAAGGAAGCTCACCGAGGCCTGAGATCCGCAGCAGATGCTGAGCCCCCTGACGCACAGAGGGTGAGAGTGTGAGATCCACAAAGGCCTTCACCTGGGCCCGGTCCACCAGGCTCAGCCAGGCCCCATACTGTGGCTGCACCGGGTCCGAGGGGAGGGAGTCTGTGAGAAAGGAGGCGGAGGAAGGAGCACATTACGGCCAAATCCCAAAAGGCAGACAATCAATCAATCAATCAATCAATAAATAAATAAAATTTTTCTGGGTAGGCTGAAGCAGCATGGTTGGGGAGGTGATCAGCAAAGACACATGCCTGGGACACCGAGAATGTCTGAGACCAAGAGAAGACAAGAGGACAGGAAATGGGCAAAAGGACAACTCACCCAGGTCGCCCAGGGTGACGTGGCCCAGCACATACAGGCCCCCCTTCTTGAGTTGGTTGGCCAGCCGCAGCAGAGGCAGGGCGCCCCGAGGGTTCCCCACCAAGAGCAGCAGCTGTGGCCTCCAGAATTTCACATGCTCCTTTCGCACATCCAGCCGGAGCAGGTACTTGCGCACCTGAGGACGTGGAAGAGGTGTAGGGAGAAGGGCTAGAAAGGGCAGGCGCTCAGCACGTCCCACGGGGGCACGACTCCAGCCGAGGGGCCCTCTTGAGACATAGGCTTTCCCAGAAGGCTTCCTCCCTCATCACCCTCCTCCAAGCTACCCAACCTGGTGGAAAAGCAGAGCCTGGCTGACGTAGCCCCAGCTGCTGGGACCTCCTCGAGCTGTGAGCAGGGCAGAGAGCAGGCCCATGAAAAGCAGGGAGCCGCCGGCGGCCCCAGGGCTGATGAGAAACATCATGAGCAGGCAGGAGGCCACCCCCAGCAAGCAGGTGTGCCAAGAGAACACATTGAAGGTGGGGCTGGTGGGAGACAGAAAAAAGAAGGGGAATTCAGGCCCTGCCTTTAATGTGCACCCATTCCCTTCTAATCCTCACCCTCTTGGCCCAAGGCCCCATTCCTCCCTCCTTTCCTCTGAGGACATGGGCATCCTACTCACTCACCGGAAGTTAGGGGCTGAGGCCCATTCCAGGCTCAGGCAAGACAGATCCACTGCAGCATAGGCCACCAAGTAAAAGACAGTGGCCACAGCAGCCAGGGTGTTCAACTTCCCTGCCAGGAGCACCAGCTTGGGGGGGGGACACAAAGGGCCAGGCACTGATCCAGATGCTAATGCACCCCACACAAAATGCCAACAACTCAGTACAGCCTTGCCTTTCTGTACATCTCTTGCCAGTAAACCAACTCCTGTCACGTCAACTCTGGCCCCCTGTGCATCAGAGCAGAACTGTGCTCCATCCACAGGGCTAACAGTGGCCGTGATCTTTCGGAAGTTGATTACCTGGCCTTTATGCTAACGTGTCTGAGTGGACTCAAATCTCCAAACCCTGGTTAGCAGCCAAGCATGAAAACCCATTTGTATCATCTACACGTTTCTACAGGTATCTCAGTCCAAACCCTTCCCACCAGAGAACAGGTAACCACGATATGGTGGTGGGGGGGGGTAGCTTGGAGAGGGATGTTATTACCTGCACGAGGCCCCAAGAATACAGCACAGCCCCCCAGGGGTTTCCCCCTCGGGACACAACCTTTGCCGGTGCCAAGATGAGACCTGTCAAAATAGATGTGAGGCAGCCACGTCAGCCTGGGTCAAAAGGGGCCCGAGGCAGACCCCGGAAGGCATGTCCAGAGCCCAGCGAGAACTCACCAAAGAGGTCATCCTGGGCCAGGGCATGGAGGATGCGTGAGGCCCCAATGAGTGAGCTCATGGAAGCTGAGAGAGATGCAGCGTAAACGCCAATCAGCACCAGTGGGGGCCACAGGTTGATGGACCGGAAGAAGCCATAGTCCTCCTGCAGGAGGGTCCTAGGATGGAAGGACAATGGAGGACACAGGTAAAGAGATGTGCAAACGCCACAAGGCTCTGTGAGAAAAGTGCTCCTGACGCCAAGCAGAGAAAACCTGTGTCCATTCACAGCCCCAGCCACAACCTCAAGGAACAGAGCAACACGCTAAATGCGCCAAGGGATTTTCTGGGTATTCACTGGTTATCAGGGAGCTATGGTGGCTTAGTGGTAAGGAATTATGCTCCCAACGCAAAGGTATGCAGTTCAAATCGGCCAGCTGCTCCATAGGAGAAAGACAGGAAATCTTCTCCCTCGTAATGAACTGCTTCTGAAAACTCCTGGGGGGTCAGCTATGGGTTAGGTTCCATCTCAGTGGTGGTTGTTGTTATGCGCCGTCGAGTCGCTTGCGACTCATAGCGACCCTATGTACAACAGCCCTAAACCCCGCTCTATCCTGTGCCAATCGCACTGCCTCTGACACACCCATCCTGAACACCTCGTCACTGAATCAATCCACCTCAGAGGGTCTTCCCCTCCTGTGCTGTCCCTCCACCCTCCCAAGCATGATGTCCCTCTCCAAGGACCTGTACACATTAGTTATCATTTGATGCTTTGGGTTTCATTATTAAGGGTCATTCCCAAGGCTGTATGCAAAGGAAACCAAGTAATAATGAAAATGCAAACTGAGTGAAAAGCCCCTGGCCCACCACACGCACACACACACACACGGCAGGTACTCACACACAGGACAGGTACTCACACACAGGGCAGGTACTGGCAAGTGCTGGCTTCAAGTTACTCTGTCCCTACAGCCAGCTCCATTTCTCTCTCACCAACAGACAGGGTTCCTATTTCCTCTTCACCCTAAAACCTGGGTATCTGTGTCCCGGCCTGTGCTTCTCTTGGCTATTCAGGTGCACCACCAACCTTTGCCCTTCCACCCCACCCTGCCGAGGGCCTGGCTGAACCCCTACTCCCAGGCACCTGTCACAGGTGAAGCTGGAGAGGAAGAAAAGCAGGGCATAGATGAAGAAGGTGTAGGCAACAGCAACGATGGTGCCCAGGGGAATCGCGCGGCTGGGGTCCTTCAGCTCGCCTGGAGGAAGGGGGGGCACAGAAGGTCAGCTCCCTCCAACATCCCCCTGCACCTCCAAAACCCCCACGCCTCCCCCACCGGGGGGCAGGGCCTCTCACCTGACATGTTGGCCCCTGCCATGATGCCTGTGCAGCCGTTGAAGAGGACAGCAAAGACGCTGGCAAAGGTCATCATGGCCCCCGTCGTGTAGTCCTGGGCATAGCCAGCTGAGGAGGAATTGTCCCCAGGAAGCTCGTCAGCCTCCTTGTTAGGACACAAGCCCCTACCTGTTCCATCACTCTCCCCAAGACTCCAGTTCTGACCCTCTTTCACTGGTTGTCGCTTATCTGGACCTATCAACCTTCTCCTCAACCCGCCTCCTCCTCCATTCCTCCCTCCAGCCTTAATCCATGCTCTTTCCTGAGATGCCCTCCCTCCCTGGCCCAAGCTGAACCCTCCAAGCCTTCCCATCCAACCTACTCCAGCCTCTCCCAGTCAGGTCTCCCTGCCTTAAACCGCCAAGGTGATTCTTATCTCCTCGACTCTCCCTGTCTCATTCTGCTACTGAGTTATTTCCTGAATGTCTATCTTATCTCTCCAACAAGGCTACAAGTTCATCTAAGCCAGCGGCTGTCTTGAAGTCCGGCCTGGGCAAAAAAACCACAGCCGTCAACACACACCAGACAAACTTTAATTGCACTGCTCCCAGGTTCAGACAGCTTGCCCTCTAATTGTCTGACACCTGTTCCCAAGCAGCAGCTGCAAGAACTCAGCCCCTCCACGTGGCTGCCCCCACATCCTGAGGGACCCCCGTCACCACAGTGCCCAGCTCACCTGCCAAGTTTGCCTTCAGTGTGCTGCTATTGAAGCCAGTGAAGTGGCCAACCTGGTAGGGCATGGAGGAGCCGTTGGGGCCAGGTCGAGGAGTCAGAGGGATGTCCCTGGGTCCCACGGCCACAAAGCTAATCAGCACCGATGCCAGGGAGCCCGAGACCAGCAGGAATGTAAGGAAGGAGGCCCGGGCATACAGCCCCGCTCCCAGAGTGCAGATCCCACCCACAAGGCCCAGGAGCAAGGAGCCATAGAGCAGGTTCCAGCCGTAGCCCTGGGGTAGGACTCGAAGTCCACTGGGCCCTGTGGCATCTGAAAGAGAGGGACGGTGATAAAAGGTCAGACCTCAAGGAGGGACCCAACCCCAACCATGACCAAAAGGAGAAACAGACCTTTCTTTGTCCCACCTGCCTCCAGAGAGGCCCTATTCCCACTTCCTCCAAGCCTCCTCACCCTCCCTCTGAACACCACCAATCTTGCTATATGTTCATTTGAGGCATATCTGCCTGGTCTCCTGGACTAGACGCTACGCTCCCCGTGGCCAAGGCCAAGCTCCCGGACATCTGTATCACACACGTAAGGCTGAGCACACAGCCGGGGCTTCAGGAAGTCAAGCTACCAGGGTCAGTCTGCCCCTCCGCTGGAGATGGCTTCTCTCTCTCATGGCCCCAGACCCTGCCAACCCACAAAGCTGCCCAGACTAGGACAGGGAGTCCACAGACCAGTCCCAAAGACGTCGAGCACAGCCTCCACCAGCCCCAGCATGGACACAGCACAGCCACAGACATTAGCCAGGTAGAACATGAGGCCGATGCTGCCCCCGACCTCAGGCCCCAGAGTCCGACTGATCATGACTGAAAGTAGAAGCAGGGGGTTGAGCGTTAAGGGAAAAGAAACTGAAATGGCACATGAGGAAGGGGCCCCGGAACACGGTCTCTCCAGATGGCCCTCCACCGACTCCATGGCAATGAGACCCAAAGTCCCCACCTCCTGGCGCTAACACACTCTGAGCTCCAGTGTCCTCATCTCTGAAAAGGAGAGAAAACTACTCAACTCACAAGCTCGCTCAGGACACCAAAGCAACAGCCGGGAAAACTCCTGGTAGACCAGAGTGGCACTAGTCTAATGCCATTCATGAGACTCCCCCCACTGCCTCACGCCTACCAAGAATAGAGGGTACTGACCCCTTCCGTGTTTTTATTGTCCTTGTGTGCCACTGAGTCAGAACCAACCCATAGCTGACCCTCCAACAGGTTTTCAGAGACACTAAATTGCACAGGAGGAGACTGCCCATCCTCCCGCAGAGCAACTCGTGGATCCGAACCGCACTCCTTTGGGACTGCAGTGCAGCTTCTTATCACTAAGCCACCAGAGCACCTTTCCATACCCCGCCCCCTTAAAATACAGACGACACCCCCCACGACCCTAGTCCATCCTGTTGAAGGATACAGTAGGCTCCGCCCCCCCGGACAGCTCCATTGGTGGCGATGGCACAGACAGAGAGGACGGTGAGTGCCAGGATGAAGTAGGCGACCAGGAGCATGGCCAGGGCCTGCAGCAGCCCAGCGTGGCCCACCACAAACCCTGTCACAAGAGCGCAAAGCAGGTCACATTCCAAAGCTGCCGACCCCACCTGACCCTCTACCCCACGGACCTAAGGAGGCTCCAGGGCACAGCTACACCCCAGACCTGGGGAGTCTCCCTTCCATATCCTATATCCACCCACTTCTCCTAGGGCCCTTCCCAACCTTGTCCCAGTGCCCCCTCTCCCACACCACTGCACCCCTCCATCCCTCACCCACTCACCAATCCTCATGAAGACAACGATACTGAACATGGACAGGACTGTGGGCACCACCACGCCCAGGAAGGTGGAGAGCTTCCGGGGAGATGCCCCGCCAGGACCCCCTGCTCCATTAGCGGAGAAGGCCATTCCCTCCTCCCCCAGGAGCCGGTAGGCCAAAAGGGGTGAATTCTCGCTGGCCATGGCTGGGAGCGGGCAGAGGAAGCCACAAACGGGTTAGGAGGCCTTCAAAAGAAAGGGTGTTAAATGAAAGCAGAGCCACAGGGCCTTTCAAAACAGCTTTACTCAAACTCTCAAAGGACAGGCGAGCAAGCATACACACACACACACACACACACACACACACACACATGCACGCACGCACACAAGCTTACCAGCATCTCACAAGAATCCATGGTCCCAGCCTCAGCCCCAACAGTGAGAGATTCAAACAGCACCTGGCTATCAAGCCCTTCCTCTTACATCCCTGAGCCCAAGGTTGTAATGACTCTGGAAGGAGGGCAAAGATCCTCTAGCAGCAGAGACTTCTCCAGTCTTCTCTTTGAAAGCAGCAGCACAAGAGGAAGTAAAGTCCACAAAACGGAAGTGCATTCCGCCTAGGGACCTCTCCTCACGCTGTCTTCCAGAGCCACCACTCTCAAGCTCCCCCATGCAAACATGTCACCCACAGGCCTTAAGAAACTTTTAAATCTTCCCAAGTGCCACCCTCCTGCAAGGAATTAGTAAAAAATACAAAATTGAACCTTTTATAATAAGAATAACTTGAAAGAAAAAAAAACACCCAATACCCTCAAGGTCTCTGCCATTAAGTTCATTCTGATTCATATTAACCCTCCATTCGATTTTTAAGGCTGGAGGAACTTGCACTGTTAACCCAAAAATGGTTCCTACACTGGGGGTTCAAATCCACCAGCGACTTTTTGGGAGAAAGACCGGCAATCACCTCCCATGCGATTCACAGCTTCTTCAAACCCCATGAATGGTCAGCTATGAGTCAGTTCCTACTGGAGGGCACAAGTTGGGTTGAAATGAAATCTTACCAGGAGGGAACTGCCCACCTTTCTCCCCAAGAGCTGCTTGTGGATTCAAACCTCCAAAGACAAGCAGCCTTTTTTGGTTGGCCGCGTAACACACTAGAGACTGTGCCATCAGAGCTCATCAACCTTTTATAATATGACACTAACATTTTATAACTCCTCGGACAGAAAAGACTATTCTTTCAGCAGTGGTGTGTGTTCTAATAAACTAACATGCCTTTGAGCTCCTCTCAAACCCTTTCCAGCTTGCCCTCTGCAAGTGTTTTTTGTTGTAGCCTCTCCCCTCTGCCCCTGAAATTCACAGCCAGGAGCTAAAATCTCCTCTTTGTATTGTTTTTTTCCTGCTTGCTCTAGCAATTTTCCTTAGAAAATGAAACGGTAATAAAATAAATGCTTCCCTTAATCAGGACAATAGGAACAGTGGCTCTGGTGGTACAAATCGTAAGGAGTTATGCTGCTAACCAGCGGCGGTGCCTCTCTGCTTCTTTTCTGTCTTTTGTTATAGTTGTGTACTGTCAAATCAGATCTGACAGGCACAGGAGAATATTACCCCTTCTTCTCCAGAGGAGCATCCGGTGGATGTGAACCATGCACCTTCAGGATTGCAGCACAGCTTCTTGCCACTAGGCTACCAGAGCTCCCTTGGCCGTGCCTCTCTGATGGTTCAAATCCACCAACCATTCCTCTCAAGAAAGACAAGCCATCTCCTCCTGTGCCATTTACAGCCTCTGAAAACCCCGTAGAGGGTCAGCTAGAAGCCAGTCTTGACTCAACAACAATGTGTGAGTTTATGAATCAGGATAGAGTCAAAGCTTCTTGTAAGACATATAGATGGGTGAGCTCTGGTGGCCTAATGGCAAGAAGCTGCACTGCAATCTAAGAGGTGCGCAGTTCGAATCCACCAGATGCTGTGCTGGAGAAGGAGGGACAATCTCCTCCTGTACCAGTCAGATCTGATTTGATGGTACGCACACACAAAAATAATGAAATAAAATTTAAAAAACTTAAAAAAAGACATATAGATGGAGTCAACTACCTCTGGAATATTGATATGACAAGTTCAATTAGTCTGGGACATAGCAGCTGACAAGACCACACAGAGAGGAGTAAATACGGTCAAAAACCCCCACATTCAGCTGTCCGTGTGCTTCCGTTCATCCTCCATCTAAGCTCCCTGCAGTTGCTACGGCAGAAGGACCTAGCTGGGAAGCTCATACTCTCTGCCTGTTGTTGTGGTTGTTGTTATGTGCCGTGGACCGGGGATAGGCTCATAGTTCATCCTCCAGTGGGTTTGTTAATCACTATATTTATCACAAATTTCTTGCTTCCTCACCACATCCCTGTCCCCAAGACTGGTGTCCTGAGGCAAGCAGCACACTCGAGGCTTTGAGTAACACTCCTGGAACTCAACTTATCTCTACCTCCATCTCCTCTTGTTATTGTTTCAACTCAGCAATCCTTCTTCCAACTGTACAAAACGCTGCCTGGTCCAGCACCAGCCTCACAATCAACGCTGTGTTTGAGCCCATTGTTGTCGCCACTGGTTTTCTTTTTCAGTGACCCGCTACCAAGCTAGGATGACCTTCTTCAGGGACTGGTGTCTCCATGTCTAAACTATGTGAGATGAAGTCTCACCATTCTCATTTCTAAGCAGCACGTTGGTTGTAAATCTTCCAAAGCCAATTTATTCTTCTAGGTATATATGCCCAGTATCTTAATTAAAATGTGTCCATTCTTCTTTGGGATTCCTTAATGTTGTCCAGCTTTTGCATTCTCTTTGGCCCCATCAAATTCTCCCCCCTCCCATCCAAAAAAGGCACTCCCAAAACTCTATCAATCCAAACACACCCCTCAAACTATCACAGCAAAAACATAGGCCTGCTGGCATCACCCAACATCCGCTGCGACCCATCCCTGCCCACTTTCTCCCGGAAACCCTGCAAAACACACAGAGCTGCCCAGATTAGGGTGGGGAGCCCACAGACCCTAGAAGAAGGTGCCGAGAACACTGTCTCCTCTGTCAGGCATCACTCACAACTCTGCTGGTCACTCACCACGCCTAGAGGATGCAGCCCCTCGAGCGAGATTCCCGACAGCCGCGGGGCCCCGCTACCCGCGGAGGGGGCGAGGGGCGGAAAAGATCGCGGCGGCTACCGGGATGCCAGGCCCGAGCCCGCCCCCTCCATGTCCCATTGGCCGTCGCTCGTGGGCCCGCCCACTGGGCGTGCCACTGTGTGCTCCGCCCCCTTTCTCCGCCTCCAGGGTCAAAGCCGCTAAACAACCACGTGTGTGTCCTGAAGCGGCCCGGGGTCAGCCTCTCTGACAAGGCGTGGACCGCAGTCCCCACTAACACCCCCAAAACTGGGAGGTTAGTGCAGACCCCGCCTCGAGCTCAAAAGAGCCGCCATCAAAAAGCCTTGCGTGTTGACTGCGAAAGGTGGCTCGACAGTGGGCGGGACCGCGGCACCTGGGCCAGGTGAATCGCCCAGGATTGTGTTGGCGCCTTCCGGGGGCCCTAGTCCTCAAAGCCCTAGAATGTCTGTTGGATCCAGGATTCACCTCTACCTCCTGCGGGTACCTTCTCCCCGCCACGCTGCTCCCAGTCCGTTTTCTGGCTGCGCTCTTCGCTTCCGCCACCGGAGGGAGATATTGGCCGCCAATCCGGTGAGAGCCCGAGTGTTGCAGGCACCCACCTTTCTGTCTGCACAGCCCCACTGTCTGCTTGTTCAGTGCCTCATTTCAGTGTGCTCATAAGACCTGGGAGAGCCTCACACCTTACAGGTGCAACCTGCCAACGTTTCCTCATCTGGAAGATGAAGAAAGAAAAAAAAATTCTTCAGAAGAATTCTTCCTTTGAATTGTGGTGCTGGCGAAGAGTACTGCTAAAAGAACAAGCAAGTCTTTCATTGAGGATGTGCATCAGGGCGCTCCTTGGAGACAAGGATAAAACTGTCTCACATGCTTTAGGCGTGTTGTCAGGAGGGACCAGTCCTTGGGAAAAGACATCATGCTGGGAAAGGTGGAGTGTCAGAGAAAAAGAGGAAGACCTTCAACAAGATGGACTGACAAAGTTACTAACTTTGTCAAATAAGCTGCCCCTTATTTGAGAGGAGGATCTGAAGGACCTGATGCTGCAGAAGGCCAAGGACTGCAGCCTTCAATATGGATTGAGTGAGGCTCAATGTCAAGAAGACAAAGATTCTCACCACTGGACAAACTGACAGCATCACGATGGATGGTGAAGAGATTTGAGATTGTTCACAGCTTTAGTTTGCTTGGCTCCACAGTCAACACTCTTGGCACCAGCAACCAGGAAATTAAAAGATGTATTGTGATGGGAAAGTCTGTTAGGTACCGCTCCAAAGTAATGAAGAGCAATGGTGTCACTCTGGAGACTAAGGTGTGCCTGATACAGGCCATAGTCTTTGCAATTGCTTGCTATGCATCAGAAAGTTGGACAGTGACTAGAGAGGATAGAAGAATTGATGCCTTTGGGCTGTGGTGTTGGAGAAGAGTATTGGATATACCATGGACTGCTAAGAAAACAGTTTCATCCTAGAGAGGGTCAAACCAGGCTGCTCCTTGGAAGCAAAGATTCTGAAGCTTCATCTGACATGTTGCAATGTGGGACCAGTCCTTGGAGAGGGATGCCATGCTTGGGAGGGTGGAGGGACAGCCAGGAGAGGAAGACCCTCTATGAAGTGGATTGATTCAGTGGCTGGGGTAATGGGAGTAGGTGTGTCAAAGATAGTGAGATTGGCACAGAATAGGGCAGGGTTTAAGGCTGTTGTACATAGTGTCACTATAGGGCAAGGTTCAGATCTGTTCACAGGATCTCTGTGAGCCATAGCTAGATGGAACTTAACAATAACAACATGCTGTGAGAGTTCTGTGAGCTAATGCTTAAATGTTTATAATGTTTATTAAATTATTATTTGTATTCCATACAATATTCTATCTGCATAACCACTCTGTGAGGTGTTTGTTGTTAGGTGATGTTACTCTCTGAGGTTGTTGTTGTCAGGTGCCCTCAAGTATGACTCATAGCGACCCTATGAACAATCAGTTTGAACACTGTCCTATCTCCTGCCATCCTCACAATCTCTGACACTCAAGCCCTTTGCTGCAGTCACCATGTCCCACTTA